AAACCTAAAACCTAAAACCTAAAACCTAAAACCTAAAACCTAAAACCTAAAACCTAAAACCTAAAACCTAAAACCTAAACCTAAAACCTAAAACCTAAAACCTAAAACCTAAAACCTAAACCTAAAACCTAAAACCTAAAACCTAAAACCTAAAACCTAAAACCTAAAACCTAAAACCTAAAACCTAAAACCTAAAACCTAAAACCTAAACCTAAAACCTAAAACCTAAAACCTAAAACCTAAAACCTAAAACCTAAAACCTAAAACCTAAAACCTAAAACCTAAAACCTAAAACCTAAAACCTAAAACCTAAAACCTAAAACCTAAAACCTAAAACCTAAAACCTAAAACCTAAAACCTAAAACCTAAAACCTAAAACCTAAAACCTAAAACCTAAAACCTAAAACCTAAAAACCTAAAACCTAAAACCTAAAACCTAAAACCTAAAACCTAAAACCTAAAACCTAAAACCTAAAACCTAAAACCTAAAACCTAAAACCTAAAACCTAAAACCTAAAACCTAAAACCTAAAACCTAAAACCTAAAACCTAAAACCTAAAACCTAAAACCTAAAACCTAAAACCTAAAACCTAAAACCTAAAACCTAAACCTAAAACCTAAAACCTAAAACCTAAAACCTAAAACCTAAACCTAAACCCTAAACCTAAACCAAAACCTAAAACCTAAAACCTAAAACCTAAAACCCTAAAACCTAAACCTAAACCTAAAACCTAAACCTAACAAACCTACAATCCTAAACCTAAGGAAGGACGACCTGGCCAAGGAAAGGAGCAGGAGAACAAAAGAAGCCTAAGTGAAAGACACCGTCGCATCATCCAAGCTTGCCGTGGTGCGTCCGAGTCACCGCGTTTCCTAAAGCCTTGGGAGTCCTAAAACCTAACGCCTAAAAGGCCCTCTCGTGGGTCCGAAGTGTCTTGAGTAGGGTTTGCCCGAGGAAGAAAGGAAGGAAGTCCTGGCCAAGGAAAGGAGCCGGAGAACAAAAGAAGCCTAAGTGAAAGACACCGCCGCATCATACAAGCTTTCCGTGGTGCCTCCAGCCACCGCACTTTTTCTTTCTGGTATAAGTTTTAAGTGTGATCTGGGTTTTAGTCGGCCATAAACCAGGTCGCATAAGACGACGGATTCCAGCAGAAGAGTGGATCAGGGTAAGGTTTACGATTGGACCTCTTTATTCTCTGGTGCCCTAGATTGCACTCCACCCGGAACAGGGCTCTTCATCACGGACTCCATTCACATAACATTATCATCATCCATGGAGGGCTGTGTTTTGGGTTTTAGTGGTCCGACAGATGGATCTCTACAGGCTCAACGACAACGGGAAGATACACTATATTACAAGAGTATCCAAATATAAAATACAAGCCCCTTCTGACAAAGTTTCACAACCATCAGACACGATCTGGATCCGTCACTCCACTATTCGTACCGAAAAATAGGCGAAAAATGGACAATAATGCAACAGAATCATATCATACACACCTACATTACACAATCAAGTCAGCATGAACCAAACAAAGAGGATCCAATCCACGAACAACTACTTATAACACACCTCTCCTTGCCTCCTTCCCCTCCCAAACCACTGCATCACCCTCAACACCTCTCTCTCCTCCCTCACCCCTGGACGCCAGTGCCCGGACCCGGGCACACATACACATTATCTGGGCTCGGCCCCTCCTCCTCCCATTCAGTGTCAATGGAGCAAGGCGATTGAGACCAAGGTATTCCAAGGACCTCATTTGGATCCCCACACAGACCCCCCAAGCACACCTCGAAATCAATCCTCTGCCTCCCCGCTGGACCTCCATGAGCTCCCCCACAGGCCCCCAATCAGCGCCGCCCCATGAGGTTCTCCAAGCCTAAACCTAAAACCTAAAAAATCCACCCATGAACTGAACCCAACACACGGATGCATTGAGCAACACCACACCAGCAACCCGGGGTCCCCTCTCCTCGTCCCCTCGCCCTCCCCGCTTCATGACCCCCCGCACCCTCCTCTGTCGCCCTCGTCGAGGTAGAGGACACCTCACACGCGACAATGCCTCCCCTCCTTTCAGCCAAGCAAACGCCTTCCAGCCCCTCCACCGCATTCGCACAGGCCTCCTCCCAATCCCCCCGCCACCACCACGCGCGTCTGCCCCTCCGATGTAACTCCCTCCCTCCTCTCTGCCTTGAGCCCAACAACAACAAGAGGGTGGGTGACCGACCGAAGCACTGGCTTTGATGACGATGGACTGGACGGATCCACACCGTCACGAAACGAAGAAGAAGAAGGATCGATCCACCCATCCATCGTGATGATGCACGTCGTCGTCGTCCTGCTGCCTCCTCCCCCTGCGAGAGTCAGGGATCCAGAGGTGCAAAAAAAATTGGAGGTGGAGGGAATCGAACCCCCTGCCTTTCGCAGATTTCGTGGGGGCTCCAGAGATGTCGAGTCCTTGTAGTAAACCCCATGTTAATGCAAAGCGAACGCTCTGCCAAATGAGCTACACCCCCTGAAGAAAGCATTGGTTGAGACCGAAATTTCGTACACTATGTAGTACCTCGGCAAAAAAAGGAAAGCGAACGAGAAGGAGAGAAGATCTCGCGCAGCAGCAGGCAGCAGCCACAAACCTCGCGAGGAACACGCCGCGACGCAAACAAGGTTTACGATACGATACGATACGATACGATACGATACGACCAGAACGCAAGGCAAGGCAAGGCAAGGCGCGCACGAACAAAGAGCCAAAACCTTTCGTCGCTTCCTTTCGTCGCTTCCTTTGGCTTGCGAAAGAGAGAAAGAACCAAGAAATCAGGTCGGCGTCGATGATGTGGAAGCTGGTGGTGGCCCAGGAGGCTCTGCGCCTTCGAGGACTGCGAGGACTCCGAGGACTCGCCAAGACCTTGGCGCCGGCCCTCTCCAAGTCCTTCTCGTCGTCGTCGTCGTCGCCGTCGAAACCGGAACCCTCCTCCTCGTCCTCCTCCTCTGCATCCTCCTCCTCTGCACCCATGGTTTTGCCCAAAGGTTCTTCTCCTCTCCAGCGGCTGGGAGGGAAGCTGCCGGGCGGGGTGTACTGGCACGAGGAGTGCGCCAAGAGGAGGGAAGCGCTGTGCCAGATGGTGTCCCCGGGGACGGTGGTCCTCGTGCCCGCCGCCCAGCTGTACCACGTCCCAGGGACGAGGATCCCGCTGCCGTTCAGGCAGGAAGCGAACTTCTTCTTCCTGACGGGTGTCTACGACGACAGCGACATGGTGTGCAGCCTGGAGGTGAGCCCGGACGGGAAGAGCTTCACGTACAAGCTGTTCTGCGCGGAGGAGGACGCGGAGAGGCAGAGGTGGGAGGGGCAGAGGTACTCCCCCAAGGACGCCAAGGCCCTGAGGGCGGACTGCGTGGAGCCGGTGGGGTCCTTCCCCTCGTACGTCAGGGGGATCCACCAGGAGAACAGGCCCGTCGTGCTCGACGCCAAGATGTGGAGGGGGCACCCCCTGGCGAGCCACGTCCTGGGCCCGAGCGCGAACACGACCTTGAGGAAGCAGAGCAACCACCTGGACCCGGTGCTAGGGAAGAGCGTGACGTACGACACCCTGGAGCAGCTCCTGCACGAGCTCAGGTGGAGGAAGTCGGAGGCGGAGGTGGACATGATGAGGGCGAGCGCGGAGATCACGACGGGGGCGTTCAACCAGTGCATGGCGCTCTCCCACCCCTCGATGAACGAGAGGCAGCTGAGCTCGCTGTTCGAGTTCCTGTGCAAGCAGGAGGGGGCGCAGAGGATGCCGTACCCCCAAGTCGTCGCCGGGGGGAACAACGCTTGCACCATCCACTACTCGAGCAACAACAGGAGGGTCTTCGGCGGGGAGCTCGTGCTCATGGACGCAGGGTGCGACTTTTACGGGTACGTCAGCGACGTCACGAGGACGTGGCCCGTCTCGGGAAAGTTCACCGAGCCCCAGAGGGAGGTCTACGAGCACGTGCTGGAGGCGCACAGGGAGTGCGTCGAGGTCTGCGTGGAGGGGAACACCCTGAGGGACATCCACAAGATGTCCGTCCACCTGCTGAGCAGGGCCCTGAGCAAGCTCGGGATCGTCCAGAAGAGCACCCAGCAGATCATCCTGCGAGGGCTTTACAAGCCCTACTACCCGCACTCCATCGGGCACTGGCTCGGCATGGACACCCACGACGTCCACACTGTGTCCGCCCTCCGCCCCTTCGAGGAGGGGGTCGTCCTCACCATCGAACCGGGGCTCTACCTGCCGAGGAACGTGCACGACATCCCGGCCCAGTACAGGGGCATAGGGATCAGGCTGGAGGACGACGTCCTGGTCCGCGGGGGCGGGCTGGGACCCGAGGTCCTGTCCGGGAACGTCCCCATCTCTCCCGAGGACGTGGAGGACCTCGTGGGCACCTGGATGGACCAGGAGCACCAGCCCGCGCCGGAGGGCGAGGACCAGGTGGACTTGACGAGCGCCTCGAGCCTCGTGGGCCAGCAGGGGAGCCTCGGCGTGTACTACAACCACCCGAGCAAGGAGCACATGGCCAGGTTTTGGAGCTCCAAGCTGAACAAGTTGTGACTCGTCCCGTTGCCAACACCTTTGCGGTGGTGAAAGCAGCCAGGAGCCCGTGCTTTTCATCACCACCACCATCATCATCATCATCATCATCATCATCATCATCATCACCCTTTTATTATGAACGAACGAACGAATGTATGAATGAAAAGTTTCTTTATTTTGCTGTTGTTGTTGTTGTTGGTTCCCTTGAGTCCCTCCTTCCCTCCTACCAATGATAATGATCTCTCCTCCTCTCCTCTCCTCTCCTCTCTCTCTCTCTCTCTCTCCCCTCTGAAAAAGGAAAGCAAAAAAAGCAAAAAGCAACACCAAAGATCCCTTCCCTCGAGGCGGCGCACTACACGACACGACACGACACGACACGACACGACACGACGAACAACTGCACGACGAACAACTGCACGACGACGTGACGACCGACTGCACGGAGACCTCATCCCAACTCTTTCGTCATTGACGCCTCAAGAGGACGACGAAGCGTGACGTTGCCAGGCACAACACGAGCATCACCAACACCAACACCAACGCCAGGAGTCAGAACCAAAGCCTGGCTTCATTCCCATCCCACGACAACAACCTCGAGGCATCGGCACCGGCACCGGCACCGGCACGGGCATCTGCATCGGATTCATTTGACGACTACGACGGCTTGCTGTTGTCCCGATTCAAGAGAGAAGGAGAAGATGGCGACGTACGAGACCTTGGACTTGAAGGACAAAGTTGTGCTGATCACTGGCGCGAGCGCTGGTATCGGCGAGGCTTGCGCCCACAGGATGGCGGAGGCCGGGGCGAAGCTCATCCTGATCGCGAGGAGGGTCGCCAAGCTCGAGCAGATCAAGGAAGACATCGAGAAAGCTTACGAGGGCGCCAAGGTGCACATCATCAAGTTTGATGTCAAGGACTTGGACAAGGTGAGTTCAGGGGCTTGTGAAGGGTTTCCGGGTCTCCGCTCGATGCAGGTTTCAGAGGAAACAGGTTCTTGGCTTGGCTGGCCGCGTATACTGAATCGATTCCCTCCTCCTCTTCCTCCTCCTAAACGTTCACCACCTCTTCGTCGTTCCATCACCAGATTGGTGAGCTCAAGGCCGGTCTGCCCGAGGAGTTCAGCAAGGTGCACATCTTGGTGAACAACGCCGGAGTCGCCCTTGGCACGCCTCCCGCTCACGAGAACCCGATCGAGGACGTGCAGACCATGCTGCAGACGAACGTGAGCAGCGTGATGGCGTTCGTCAGCACCTTTGCTCCGGGCATGGTGGAGAGAAACGCCGGGCATATCGTGAACATCTCGAGTATCGCTGGCCACGAGGCTTACCCAGGAGGGTCGGTGTACTGCGCCACCAAGCACGCCATCGATGCTTACACCACCGCGATGAGGCACGACCTCGTTGGGACCAACATCAGGGTGACGGCGATCTCCCCCGGTGCGGTGAGGACCGAGTTCACCCTCGTCCGTTTCGGGCAGGATGCCGAGAGGGAGGACACGTTCTACAAGGGCTTCACGCCCCTCAACGCCAGGGACATTGCCGACAACGTCATGTACTGCTGCACGAGGCCCTCCCACGTCCAGATCGGAGACATCATAATTTACGCCACCAAGCAGTCTTCCGCGAAGAGCATCGCAAAGAACGAGTAGACTGAGGTTCGAGGCAGTCTACGGGCCGTGCTCCAGGCCTTCCTCCCTTGATTTGTTTTTCCTTGGGAGAGGGAGTCACAGTAATATCCATTCCGTAATCCATGTCTTCCCTTGTAGGGATGCACATCGCATCGCATTGCATTGCATCCTCTCTCTCTCTCTCTCTCTCTCTCTCTCTCTCTCTAGCATCGCATCGCATCGCATTGTCCCTTGTCCCTTGTCCATCGCCTGGTCTCGGGGCATTGTGTGCTGGTCTCCTGGCGTCGAGCCCCGTGGAGCGGCAAGGTTTGAGGAAGCGCCAGAGTCATCAGCCTCGCTCGCAGGGTCCCGTTCCCTTTCCAAGACTCTGCCTTGGCAGGAAAGCAAGCAAGCAAGCGAGCAAGCGAGTGTGTTTGCATAGCATTGCATTGGGGTGGGTTCAGGTGCCGTGTCCCCACCCTGTGGCCTTGGCATTTGTGGGTTGAGTGGCGAAGGAGGGCACGATGGAGGAGACGGAGAAGGAGATTCTCTTCGTGCAGATGGCCCTGGACGATGCCAGGGCGAAGGGAAACGACAAGTACGTGGTCCCTGCTCTGATAAAGCTGGGCCTCCTGCAGTTTCAGCTGGCGACCCAGACCGCCAAGGAGAAGCAGAAGGAGAAGGAGGGGGCGCTCAAGGAGGCCGATAAGCACCTCAACGAGGCCATCTTCGAGGGCAAGAAGCTCAAGTTCGACATCGAGAACTCTGACCTCATCCTTATTCGAGAACGCCTGTGCAGCATTGCGGAACACAATGGCAAGTACGACGAGGTGGACAAGCAGTTGGGGCTGCTGGAGCGTCTGGCCAAGACTTGCAAGGACGGCGAGTGCATGAGGAGGACGAAGAACGGGTTGTGCTTCGTGAGGCTGAAGCAGAAGAGGTGGCAGGACGTCTTCGACTTGACGGTCAGCCAGCTGGAGGCGTACGACGAGGCCAAGGGCTGGGTGGAGAAGGAGGCCCTTCGCCTCTTTCGGTTCCTGGCCGATGCTATCAACCACCTCCAGCCCTCGGACGAGATCAGCGCAGCTCTGCATCGGTTCCGCAAGGACAAGCGGTTCGTGGACATGGACGGCTTCAAGCCAATCATCCTCCGGGCTGCTTGCACTTGCCTGAACAAGAGGAAGGACTACAAGGAGCTGTGCAAGGTGGCGTCGGATTACGCGGCGGAGTTGAAGACCAAGCAAGGGTCCGAGCGGCAGGCAGCCGAGATGTTCCGCCTCTCTGCGATAGCGTACAACAACCTTGGAAGCTACGAGGAGGCGAGGAAGCAGGCTGGCATCGGGAAAGGCGTCCTGGC